TCCGCATTAGATCCTGCTCGTCGGACTTCTCCACTCGGGTATTGTCCCTGTTTCTACCCTGTGCCAGTATCCAACGCCCGTGTTATGTTCAATCGAAGATGTGGTTTTACAGTGGTCCTGGTTGTGTGTGTGGTCGGTAGCAGCACAAAAAGCACAATGCAGGGCGCGCAGGACGCAAGAATAGTGCGGGACCGAAGGAGATTGGATAGATAGATGAAGAATGTGAAACAGAATCTGTAGAACCTAACAGACGGTATATACTAGACGAGGGAGAAAAGTCTTGATGGCTTTGATGGGGAATGAGCAAGAAGTGTAAACTTAATGAGCAGGTGGACTTTGTTCCAGAGGAGAGGAGAGGGAGGAGGAGAGGAGAGGAGAGGAGAGGAGGAGAAGAGAGAAGAAGCCAACAGAAGGAGAGCTGATAGCTGATGGAAACGGAGTATGGGAGCAGGATGTGGAAGAAGACGGGGAGGTGGAAAGGAAGGAGGAGGAGGCGGCAGACTTCGACATCTGTCCTTCCCTCACCGATCCAAGTTGTCATTGACCGTGTGATGAAGGGCTGCAAGGTTTCCCAGGACAAGAACATGGTTGGGGTCGACCTGCACCAACGTCATACCCGACGGCAGCAGCCGGGAAGGAAACTCACGAGCAGAGCTCGCTTGTACATCTCCTCCGCCGCCACGGCATCATGGAGAACCTGCGGGTCGTCACAGGAAGGACGGGAGGCAGCAAGGAGAGCTCTTACCTCGAAGAGAAAGTTTCCGTAGACCAGCGCGACCAGAGGATCATTGGGAGCGACCGCAAGCGCAGAGCTGAAAGAGGCGTTGGTCTGCGGTGAACCCAGTGAGTGCTAGGAAGGACCAGCTCCTCCTGCTCACCTTGGAGACTGCCTCCTCGTCCTCCAGCACCAGTCTCATGAAGTGGAAGAACTCCATGATGTTGGTGATGTTGCTCGGATTCGCCGCTAGCTCAGCCTTCAAGGAGCTTTCGATCTCCTCGATCTGGTCGCGTCCTCTCGTCAACGAGCAGCTGAGACAGACAGCCCTCACCTCCTTCGTAACGTCATCCTGCTTCGCCTCCCCCTGCTTGGCCCCGTCGATCAACGCTTCAACCGGGAACTGATATCGACTTTTGTTCGCAGGCAACTTCAGGTCGTGGCTGCCCGCGTTCAAACCTAGTAGACAAGTCAACTAAAAGCTCCTTTATGATCAAGATCAGGATCATAAGGAGGGAAGAGGGGAGGAGGAGGAAGATGGGGTAGCGATTTACCCATGCTGGAGGGGTTCGACGAGAGTGACGCTTGCGAGTATGTGGCAGTTAAGCTTGCGTTCCTGAGCTTATGTTCAGATTCGTTGCTATGCCGCACAGCAACTCACTTTCGAGCAACGGTCGAGCCTCCTCCTGCAGTCTGAAGTCCCCCGAAGAATTTCCTTGAATGTCAAGATGAGGGGAAAGGTGATGGTAGGGACAACCAAAGTTTCACCAGCATCCATTGCTGACGTGTCACGTTTATCATGCGAAGTTCCTGAAGATTGCAGTTGCACTTTTGAACAAGTTTCGATCAGAATTGACATCTAAACTCGAGATCGAACATGCAAATCAACTTGCACAAGCTCATGGCCGCAGACGGTTCGAGGTATTCTCATCATCACTTCAACATCTCCTTTCTCACCTGCGGTCGCATTCCCTTTGCTCTTTTGCCGCACAGTCTCATTCCTGGGAGCTGCAGTGGCAGCTGAACTGGCGTGTCAAAGTCCAAAGTCAACGGATCACAGAGACCGGAGGTTTGAGGTGTGTTGGCCGTCTGCAGGAGACTCGCATGAGTGGATTTACAACAATGACATGCGATGGAAACCTTAGAAATGCTGCTGACTTTGACGCTCTGTTCGATTTCCAACCATTCCAGTCAGCAACGGTGAGCTCAGCAGCCTTTCGCGTCTCACCGGGTTAGCGCGATGCTCGCATGCATCATCGATGGTGTTGGCAGGATGGTTGACCTTGTGATCTTTCAGGGTATCAGAGGACTTGTCGCAACGTGGAAGTAGAACACTAACCCTGCTGCAAGGGGATGGAGGATGGAGGAACCACGGGGGAGGATATGCTCTCATTCCTTGACAGTGATCCTTGGGCCTAAAGGAAGACTTTTTCATGTACATGTACAGTCAGTGGCTTTTGTTACCGATCTCGATTGAGGGTTCATATGATTGTCGGCAGAGATTTTCTGTTTGCAAGCAAGATCACAACAGGCTGGAGTTTATCCCCAACAACGTTACCTTGGCAGGTTCAGCAGACACAGGGGGCAACTGGGCAGGGCGATTTCAGCACAGGAGGACAGAAACGTCAAGAGTTCGAGTCGTCCATACCTTGGATGCGGTAGACGAAGTCCCATCTTCCACAGGGCCCGAGACCTGCTGTTCTACCTCACCTTGCCTATGATGGTGCCCCCTCCATATGCAGGCTCAACTTACATCATTCTGGTCTGATTTTCCTCCTCGAAGGTGCAAGGTACAGAATTTCCTTCCTGGTAATGTGACCCCTGCACTGCCACTCCACGTCCTAGTCAAGCACTGGTGAAGCGCATGTCCCTGATTTGTGCCCGATATCTTCCATGCGCAGATTACCAATATTATGATGGAGATTGTAAATCTCCTTGATGCATATCCCTTGTTCATCTAGATCGCATCAAACAGTAGCCTTCTCCTTCGCGTCCGCTCCTCTTCCTCGCTGTAGGACCTCAATCTCCACGATTGCCCGAAAGCTCTTGACAGTGTTGAAGAATGGAAGTCGATCCAAAGATGAAGAGCTGAAGTCGATCAGAAGGCGATTAGCTGAGGTCGGTCGGAATAATCTCAGCCTACAGGTGATTCAGTTGCAACACTTTGCTAATGGGTCAGGTATGTAATTCGAGTGACCACATGTTTCCAGGGCAATCAACTGCATCTTCCCCTCGCTCCTGCCTTCGCAGCTTAATCAAGTTGCAATTTCTCGGGTCCGTCCTATCTGCCCCTCCCTTTTGTCTTGACTGCTCCGCATTGGAGATCGAAAGCTTTCGCAACTTCGAGAAGATCGAATCGAAAGATGATTGTAAACTTTTCTACATGCACTATCCTTTCCACTTGGATCCATCTGCTCTTGTATCTGCTGCCCTTTCGCGCCCATCATCCTCTCTCCCCCCTCCTCCCCTCCGCCCCCTCCTGCTCCTGCACTCCTTGACCAACCTGTTGTGCCCATAGGCGAAAATTGCAGTCGTTACTTCCGTTACTATTTGCTTTCAGTGGGCTTGCAAGCGGCCTGTCACCCGGCCGGGCCCGCAGACCCGGTGGGTAATAGTAACGTGTGTGTAACGGTTTGTTTTTTTAGGGAGGGTCCTCGTGCACGCGCTTTCAAGAGGGTAATGCGCGCACGCTGGCATGCGATGCTGATGGAGGAGAGGAGGGAGAGGGGCGGGGGGATGCGGGAGGAAACGGGGGAGGGAGATGATTTCACGATAGTGTTGAAATGTTGCACTTGTGCTCATGTTTGCATGCTGTTCTTTCTTTCTGCTCTCTGCAAACTGTTGATCTACCAAGACCGTCCTGGGTTGAGGTGTCATCCGTGACAGATGCGAACTTGTTTCTTTATGTGCATGTCAATGTGATGAAAACCTGCTCTATGTTCCTTCATCGTCAACACTCATCCAGAATCTGACGGCCTCTCTTCCAGGACGACCCTTTGGTGACCTCCAAGATGGCAGACGACGAGCCCGTTGAAACCGAAGAACAGCCCCAAGTCCCCGCTGAGGGCGGAGTCATGGATCTCAACTCTGCGTTGAAGCAGGCGTTGAAGAAGGCTCTGATCCACGACGGGGTCGCCCGTGGTGTGCGCGAGGCCGTCAAGGCTCTCGATCGCCGCCAGGCACATCTTTGCATTCTCGCGCAGGACTGCGACTCTGCCGAGTATGTTCGCCTTGTCGAGGCTCTCGCTCAGGAGAGCGGCATCAAGATCGTCAAGGTTCCTGATGGCAAGACTCTGGGCGAGTGGGTTGGTCTCTGCAAGCTTGACCGCGAGGGCAAGCCCAGGAAGGTAGTCAAGTGCTCGTGCGCTGTCATCAAGGACTGGGGCGAGCAGGTACAGCCACCTCCTCATCCTCCATGTTCTTTCTCCTGTCTTCTCTGCCTCAATATCCCTTGTTATCTCGCAGTCTCTCGCCCTCCTTGCCTCGTTCTGTGAGTCCCTCGTGCTGACTGGCTTGCGATGCAGAGCGAGGCCAAGAACTTCCTCAGCGAGCAGCTCGCCAGCTCTTAGGCGACGGGACCTGTGGATATTCATTCTTTCGTTAAACTGTGAATGATGTTGCATGTCTATCTTGTGCCTGGATCAGGTCTCACAGTTTGGAGAAAACTTGTCCCCGCACACCTAAAATGCGATACCCTTTCGCAAATTCGGAGCTTGAGACTGTCGCTCCTCTTAGCTTAATCTCAATGACAGTCTGGTCTTTCGATTTCTTGATCGATATCAGACGGACTGCCTCATGCTGGTTACATACTTCGTGTCTGCTTCATGATCGCCGCCACCCTTTGCTTCACTGGGCCGTGTCGTTATTGAGGATAGCGTCGGAAGTCAGTTGTCATGTCCGTGGGTCGCTACTTTCACAGGTTCAGCTGCTCTGAGCAACTGATCATCTCTCAATGTTCACGCAAGTATCACTGAGTCGGGGCGGCCGCGCTGCTACGGACTCTGGGAGTCCCGGGGCCCGGCCCGGCCGGCCGGCGGCCCGGTGCCCCACCGGCGGCAGTCAGTTGCCGTTAACTTAGTAAAAGTAGATGGGTGGGTGCTCTACCAGTGATATCGTGGGGGGTGGGGTGGGTCAAAGTCAAATCTGAAATGCAGTCCGATCGATGGTGAAAATGGAGGAAGACAAGGGAGGAAGGAGCAAGGAGCAAGGAGGAGCTAGGGACCGACATGGCGCCTGTGAAGTTGGCTGTCTGCTCGTTTGACGTCCTGAGTGAGAGGAGGAGGAGCTCGTGCTCGTCAGGGTGTATGCTCCTGCCGCCTTGTTGACATGAGGTCGAGCCCGCTGTTTGATCCCTCTCCTCGCCCTAGAGAGCAGCCGTGGGCCCCACGAGAGAGGAGGAGTAGAGATGCTGCATCGAAGCAAGAGAAACGGCAGGTCTTGCCCCCGCAGCAACAAGGAGCGAAGGAAGCTAGGTCTTACCACAAACCATCACCAAGATCTGCGGAGTATCTCTACAGGACGCAAGCGCAGTCCGTGGAGGTCGGGAGAGGAGTGGCAGGAGGAGCAGCAGGAGCCATAGTCCACGATGTGGTCAGTCAGAGGTTGGAACAGCTCTTCCAAGAGTTCCAAGTAGACGGACCTCTGCTGGAGAGCCTGCGAGGGGCGCTGCTAGCAAGTACGATTGAAAACCCTGAGGGGAGGGGGAATCTGATGACAAACACATCAGGAGAGACCTCCAAACATGCCAAGGATCTTGGCGATGCTGAGACGATAAGCGCCGAAGTGATCCCACCAGAGCCCCCAGGTCGACCTCCCAAGTTTGTGCAGATCGAGTCTATCAAGGTATGAGTTGCTCCAGGGGAGCTGGGGAGGAGGTGGGATGGGATGACTTTTGACGACAGGAAGCCCAACAAGAGGAGAAGGAGCCTGCAGATGATGACGAGGCAAGCGCTCCGTCTCCTGTTCAAACCAGGGATTCTCAGAGTGCTGGTCAGCCTCCCAACGGAGCGAGGCTCGTTCAGGTAGCACAGGGGCAGGAGCGATCGACAGCGGAGGGACCCATAGACGTGTCTCCGCATCCTCCGAGTCTGAAATCAGAGCCTCCATCATCCATGGCAGACGACGTGACTGGAGCTGCGGAGGGAGGGAGGACGGTGGAAGCAAGGACTGAACGACCTGTCATGAGTGAGAAACCAGCTACAAGGGAGGACCCCCCTGTGAAGGACGTGGAGATTGGTCAGAGAGGAAAGGCGGTTGTCTCGTCACATGCTGAGGGCAGCAGGAGCGTGAGCGATGGTGTTGCTCGGATGATGCAGGCAGCGTCTGTGTGGCAGAAGCGATGCATCGATGCCGAGGAGGCGACCCAGCGGGTGTATCCGATCCTGTCAAAAGCGTGCAGCCGGCTGCAGCTCAAGGTGGAGGAGGAGGAGGAATGCAGGAGGGTCATCAGCTTGATGAAAGCAGAGGTGAAGCGACTCCGCGCCTGGCAGCAAGACAGCGAAAACAAGCTGCTCGCTTCCCAGCAAGAGTGCCGGACTCTCTCCCAGCAGGTCCAGAGCCTGACGGGCAGGCTGGCAGACAGGGAGAAGGAGGTTGGTGGGGTCAGTAGGAGCGTCGGGCAGGAGGAGGATGCATCCTTGAGGACTCTAGAGATGGAGGAGGAGCTGAACATGTCGAGGGAGCTGATAGGTGAGCTGAAGACCCAGGTGGGTGAGCTGAGAAGTCGAAACGTCGAGCTGGAAAACATCCTCGAGCGCTACGTCCACCTCTGGAATCCGCAGGCATCACAAGAGGAGGAGAGGAGGAGGAGGAGGAGAGGGAGAGAGGAGGAGGAGGAGAGGGAGGTTGATCTTGGAGACCTTGGATCGCTCCTCTCCTCCGGCCTGGTGACGAAGGCGAGGAGCAACTGGATGGCGACATGGCGAGGGGAGGCGGAGAAGCACAAGGAGGCGCTGGAGCATCGGGAGAAGGAGATGAATGCTCTGATAGCTGTGCTGGAGCAGACGACGATGCAGGTGGCCGCGCTAGAGGAGGAGAAGGAGAGGGAGAGGGAGTTGAGAGTGAAAGCGGAGCACGAGAAGGAGAGCAGCGAGATCAGAGTGAGGGAGGCGGAGCAGCACAGCAGGTTGCTGGCGCGAGAGAAGGGGGAACTGCAGGAGGAGGTCAAGAGGCTGCAAGCTGCTGTCCGGGCATGTCAGGCGAGGATGTACCAGCACTCGCTGTCTCTCGCACAGAACGCTCTTCCTCTTCCTCCTGGGGGGTCGCGCGAGCTCAAGGCGGCTGAGCTCCCTCACCCCAGCTCCCTCTCCGACGCCCTCCCTCCACTCTCCCATCGATCGCTGGAGGGGAGCAAGGAGGAGGAGGCTGCCGGCAGCAAGGGCATCGAGGGCGATCCTTCTTCCTCCTTCTCTCCTCCCCCACCGGCGGCTGCTTCACACAACCAGCAGCTCGTGAGGCAGGAGGAGGAGCTGCTGAAGCTGCGGGCCAAAGTCCTCGAGCAGAGGACGTGGGGCCTCAAGGCATGGCAGGAGATCCAGCGGCTGAACGGGATGAAGCTGAATCTGGAGCAGGAGGTGGAGTTCTTCAAGGAGAGGATAGTGGAGGACGAGAGGAGGAAAGAGAACGCCGCGACCTCTGAGCTGCTCCGGGAGTGCCTGTGGCTGGCGGTGAAGGAGAACAAGGCTCTGCTACTTTCTGACTTCGTCAACCTGCCCAGCAGCGATAGAGAGGAGTACATGAGCAGGGTAACGGCCGTCCTGCAGGCAGCGTCCCTCTCTTCGGGGAAAGACGATTCTCTCCCTCCGAACCTTGCCTCCGCCTCCGTCAACGACACATGCATCGGGCTGATGCAGCTGCTGAAGAAGGAGAAGGCGAAGCTCAGGGAGGCCAGGATGAGGAACAAGGAGCTGGAGGAGGAGGTAGGGCGCCTGCAGGACGAGACTAGAAAGCTGCAGGAGATCGCGGATATGAGAGGATACGTGGCAGTGCAGGTTCCTTCAAACTCGCACCCTCCTCCTCCCCTCCCACCCTCCTCTCCTCTCCTCTCCTCTCCTCTCCTCTCCTCTCCTCTCCTCTCCCCTCCTCTCCTCTCCCCTCCCCTCCCCTCCTCTCCTCTCCTCTCCTCTCCTCTCCTCTCCTCTCCTCTCCTCTCCTCTCCTCTCCTACCCTACCCTACCCTACCCTCTCCTCCCCTCCCCTCCCCTCCCCTCCCCTCTTCTCTTCTCTTCTCTCCTCTCCTCTCTCTGTCTTCTCCTCATTGTTCAACTGTTCTCATGATATGCGGCAGGCAAAGGAGCAGCTGAGGAGCGTCCTGGGGGTAGACGAGAGCTTCGGCTACATGCAGGGAGGACGCGAGAGGACACCAACGGAAGACATCGCGGCGATGTCAGTGAAGATGAGAGAGCTGCTGCATGTAAGAGACAACAAGACAAGTTTCATTCATATGTCCATGACAACAAATAGCACAAAGAGCGCTCTGTGCGCGCGTGTTGCTAACTTGCACCGCAGAGAGCAAAGGAGAAAGATTCCATCATTGCCTTGTTGAAGAGAAAACTAGCAGAGGAGGTGAATTTGTTGGTTGAATTTCTTTGCTGATCTCTGACCTCGACTGGAGCAGACACGGAGGAAACAGTTGTCAAGAGAGGAGGAGGAGGAGGAGGAGGAGGAGGAGGAATTTTCGTCCTCAGATTCGGAAAATGATCAGGGGGTGGTCGGTCTCTTTTTCAATGAGGATGACGATGGTGAGGACAGGGATGTAGAGATGGGGGAGGAGGAGGAGGAAGGGAAGGACGAGGGCGAGGACGAGGAAGAAGAGGAAGAGTTTTCTAACGCCATGGCAGGAAACATCGTTGTTAAGAGCATCGCAGTGGGCAGTCCAGCACATGTAAATGGCTCGATCGAAGTCAGAGACATCCTGTCAGCAATCGACGATGAAGATATGACGGGGAAGGTAAAGAAAGGAGAGCGAGGAGGAGGAGAAACATGAGGGAATATAGAGGGGGGGGAGAGGAGAATTTTGTTATGAGTGGTGAGGGAGGAAGGGGAAGTTGGGGGAGAGGGGAAGGAGGAGGATGAGGAGGAGGAGAAGCAATTTCATCCTCTCTCACAGCCTCCCATATCTTTTCTCGACTGACGAGTTTGGTTTGGTTTTAAAGTCCATCATGGAGGTCAAAGAAAAAATCAAAGGTTTTGTACATCCTCCACCTCCTTTCTTACATCCTTGCTCCTCTCTCCCCTCCTCTCCTCCTCCCTGTCCTCCTCCTCTCCCTCTCTTGCTCCCCCTCATCCTCCTTCTCCTCCTTCTCCTCCTTCTCCTTCTCCTTCCGTTCTTCATTCTTTTCTCACTTCCTGTCGTCAAGGTGTTCCTGGGACCTCCGTCAGGTTGAGTTTCGTCCGCCTTATTTCTTCTCCTCCTACTATGGCTCCTCCAAGATGGCCTCGAGGAAGCAAACTCTACCGGTACAACTTCTCCTCTCCCTCCTCTTCCTCCTCCTCTTCCTCCTCCTCTTCCTCCTC